GGGAGACTAATGACAAAATCATGAGCTGGCAGCGCTGCCTTTCCCTCCGACCTCTCCATTTCATCCTGCTCAGGAGTGGGAATTCCAGCCCCAGCATCCACACGGTTTGGGCTGGGTGGAGGAGGCACGGAGCTGGCCACATCCAGGGGTTTGGCGGTTTTTTTTTTCCAATTCTTGTTAGATTTTTCCCCAGCCCAACAAATCCTCAGGGCTCCTTTGTTTGCTCTGGTTGTGGAGGAGGCTGTGGTGACCTCCCTCGCTGTCCCTGCCTCCACGGAGCGCTGGGGATGATCCCGGCTCCACCTCCCACCCACCACGCGTGTCCAGGGGGTGCCGTGGGCTTTCTCGGTGCCAGAGCTTCTGGCTGGTTTTATTCCCTCTGGATTTCTGCTCGGCTGTTCCCTGCTAATCCCTGTGTAATCCCGGCAAGCCCGTGATCCCAGGGAGGGGTCGGGCACGCGGGCTGGGGTGTGTCTGCTGTGCCAGGGCTGGAACTGGCCCTTCTCCCTCCCTTTTATTCTGCCCCATGGGATACCCCACCTGTGTCTCCCCACGGCCACGGGCAGGCTTGGAGGTGTTTTATCTCCTGGAGATGAAACAGTCTCTGGTGAAGGTGAGCCACCCTCTCCTTCCCCCTCGGGCACCACCACTGCCAGTTGCCACCGCAGAGAATTCCACCAACCCCAGGGGACTCCCAGGGATGTGGGGGGTGCCTGAGCCCCCCAGGATGGGCTCTGTAGGCTCCCACCATCCCGGGGTGCAGACCAGCCCTGCAGGTCCCAAATTTCAGAGTCAACCTGTTCATCTCCAGCACAACACACCTGGTGAGCAGCATCCCTTCCCTGCTGGGATGGAGCCAGCCTGGGCTCCCACCCCCGGGCAGTGCCACCCACCCCATGGAGCAGTGGGGTGGGTATCTTATCCATGTCTCATCCAGCATGGATAACACACACACCTGCTCTGGGAAGCACAGGAATCACTGTGAGCGGGGAGCAGAGAGCAGAGCCTCGTGAGGTGTGGCCTGGGGGAAGTCTCAACACCTTCTTTAATGAATCTTGAGCTCCTTCCACTCCCGCATGGATCCGACGCCTGCGGGAGCCACATCCCGGGTCAGCTGGTGGCGTTGGTCCAGCAGATCCCCCCCCACGTGCTGCAGTGTCCGGCACACGTGTCACCCCCGTGAATCCAGGGACGACTCCAGTGCCTGGGGCTGAGCAGGTGCTCGGGAGGGCCCGGTTCCCATCGGCGCGGCCAAACCGCAGCCGCACGGCCCAGCCTTCCCCGACCCGCTTGGCTGCGCTTCCTCACCTGGCAGGAGAACACACGGCCGCGGGAATAAACACGGCGCGAAGCGAAGCCCCTCACGGCCCCGGCGAGCGAGGCCCGCCTTCCAAGAAGTAATGAAGCCCAGGGAACGGAAAATCCATGTCACTTGGCGGGCTTGGATGCGCTCCGTGCCGGCTGCCGTGCACGGCATCGCCGCGGCCCGGCAGCTGCGCCAGGCCCGGCCGCGGCACCGCGCCGAACCCTGACATTTGAAGATGGGGAAATAATTTGGCTTCCTTACCCTTCCCCTTCTTTTCCCCCCCCCTCCGCCCCGGGCGGTCCCTCGAGCCGGGCTGGAATGTGCGTGGTAGGGACAGAACCAATCCCATTAGCGCCAGGAGATTGTTTTTCGTTTGGGGTTTGCCGCTGTTGAATCGCCCGCGGCTCCAGCTTCTTCGGGGTAGGTCACGGAAGGGAGGACGGGGAGAGGGAGCCCATGGATGTGTTTTCCCGGGTGGCCATCCCTGGCACGGTGCTTCCCTGCTGGATTCCAACAGCACCACGGGGTTTCCATCTTTGAAGGCCACGAGAGCTTTGTGGTGGCTCCGGGATGGTCCCCGGCACAATTTGAAGGAGCATTTATAAAGGAGAGGGCTCAGCTCCCACGGGAGGTGTTGGGAAGGTGCTTTCCAGCTCCCCACCCTGCGTCCTCATCCTCACTCCATCCCTGAATGGAGATTTAACCCCAGCTCCACTGGGGTTAAAGCTGAATTTGCAGCTCAGGGTGGTCAGGAGATCACCAGATCCCAGCCATGTGCTGGCAGGAGCAGCGAGAGGCAGCTGGAGCTGCTAGAAAATATCCTTTCCCAGCTGAAAGAGTTGCCCAGGCTCTTCTTCCACCATGTCCAAGAGTTCAAACCTGCTGTTTCACCCGGATTGTGGATTCTCATGGAAGACCCTCATTCCTCCAGCACGAGACAAGGATAAGAAACCTCCCTCCAACCACTTTGTGTCCCCCAGAAAGTGCCTGGGGTGTGAGTGAGGAGGGGTGAAGGGAAGCAGTGGGTGCAGCCCCAGGTGAACCAACACCATGCCCCCTCTGAATCAGTCACAGAGGATGGAAATGGGGGTTGGCACACAAATGTACAAGGCAAGGACTTCTTGGAGTCCTTCCCCTCACTGCTGACCCAGTCCTGGGCTTTCTGCCCTCTGCGACATCCCTGGACCAAGGACCCCAGTGCTTTTTCCAAGCAGAGACATCCCAAAGGGACACAACACAGAGCTCCAGGCACCTGAGAGCGGGACAGGGAGCTGGAAGTGCTCCTGAAGCACAGGAGAACGGGATGAGAAACAGGGACAAACGGCTCCGGTGGGAGCAGACGGCAAGAGGGGAGGGAAACCCATGTGCAAACACATCCATTGCCTGGCCTGGCTCCTCTGCTGGAGTGAGAGCCCGGAGGAGCCAGGCCAGCTCCCAGCAGCTGGGATGTGCAAGGGGGGAACCGAGGGGAGAATGGAGGTGGTATTTTCTGGAGGGGAGAACAGCACAGCCCAGCACAGCCACTGAGAGCAGCCGGGGGGGCTGTTGACCCAGAGAGACCCCCCCAACCCCCAGCACCCGCTGCTGGCACTGAGACCAAGTGATGGCCCAGAGGGGAGAGGTCACGGAGGTCTGTGTGGAGTGTGGGGGGCAAACTTATGGCTTTTCCACGCTTTTTGAGGTCACTTCTTGCCACAACCCCCAGCAACTCATCGGTGATTGCTTGTGGACCTCTGCCTTGTGGCCAGACACGTGGATGCACCCAGGCAACTGTGGGCATGTGGAGGTGAGCCCCTGCATGGGCTGGAGGGGGTGATTCCACCACAGCCTGGCTTTGCCCGCTGCCAGTGGGGCCACACACCACGAATTTTGCTTCCCCCGTGAAAAAATAAAAGAGGGACTGAGAAGGAGAAGGCGTCGGCTGGAAAAGCCCCCCCGGCTGCCTGCTGGGGGGAGTGGAACCAGCTGATTTCATGCGTCTCCTTCTTGTTCCAGGGGGGGTCCCTCCTCACCTGCTCCTGGGCACAGTTTCCTGCACCCCGAGCCAGCAGCAAGGAATCTGACTCCAGTTTAAAGGCGAGGAGCTTGTCCACGGTTTGCAGCCCCGGCTCCCATCCCAGGAGGGGACCCGCTCGGAGCCGCTGCCCACGGCGGGCAGGGTTTGCCAGCTGTCTGCACCAATCTTGTGCCTTTCCACCTCCCTCTGCACCAGCCCGTGGTAGGGGGGTGCAGACAGCTCCGGGCTGGGGGATCTCAGCCCCCATCAGCACCATCCTGAGGTTCCCCTGCTTGCTCCTCCTTGCGCCCAAACCGCTGCTCTGTCACCGCGGGGTGTCGAGGGCAAACTGCTGCCATCACCCTCAGCCAGCCTGTAACGGGGCTCAGCGCTGATGCCTTGGGCTATCTGTGGAAAATTCTGGAGAAAGACACCCCCTGACATGCTGTCTGAGGGGCACTCAGTGACCTGGGCCTGGCAGTTCCTGCCCCTGGGCCATCAGCTCGTGCCCACCCCAAAAGCTGCTCAGTGCTGGGCTCCATCTCTCAGCCTTTCCCTCTTATCCTGACGGCCCCCAACACCCCCCTCTGCCCACCCTGGGACCCTGAGGCACCCAGCTGCCTGCTGAGGACCCCGTGGCAGCCCCCACACCCCATTACTGGCTGGGAAGTGCAGGCATGGCCCCCACTCTGCCTCCCACACCCGCCCTGCACAGCCAAGGCCGCCGGGAGCATCCTCCCGCCCAGGCAGCGAGCTGGAAACACCATCCCTCTCCATTCCATTTAGGGAAAACACCCTCCTATGCCCGTCCTGTGAGCACAGCACTGTGCCCACACTCCTCTCCCCTCCAGCACTGAGGGGGTGACATCTCACCCCCAATTTAGGGCCAGGCAGAGAACGTGCTCCGGCAGCAGAGGCTGCTGGCAGGGAACACACCAGGCTCTGTGCATTCCTTTTGGATCCCTTTGGAGATCCTTCTTTGGCCGTGACTCATGTGGAGCACCCCGGCATCCATCCACAGCACCTCCACGTCCCTGGCTCTGCATCCCGGGGAAAACAAGCAGCGGAGGCCAAGGCCAGCCCCGGCTCCTCTGGGGCCCCGCGCCGCTGCTGGCTCCGAGGACGGGACCCCGCTGAGCTCCCGAAGTGCTAAAACCGAGGCTGCAGCCCTTGCGTGAGCCTTCCTGCCGGGTTTGGCACGGGAGGGAGGAGCTCGGCAGCTGCTGTGCCAGGACTAGCGCGTCCCTAGGGGGAAAGGTGGGCACACCCACGGGTGGACATGTCCCACCCCCTTGAAATGGGAGTCCAGGTGTCGAGGGGTGATTTTCAGTGGGAAAATCCCTTATTCCCCGACCTTTCCATGTGCCTACAGCCCTCCCTGCTGCAGTATCCCGGCCTCCTCCTCCTCGCAGCTGACAGGGGGGATGTGTTGGGGTGAATGAGTCTCTGCCCACCCTGTGCCCACCCACCCAGGGGTGCTGGGAGCAGCTCCCACAGCATCTCCTCTCCCACTTGAGCCTCCCAGTCCTGCAGCAGGGAGGAGCATCGCCCCATGGCCATGCCAAACAGCCCAGAAGGGAATTGTCTCCCGTTTGCCGGAGGTTTCATCCCGGCTCAGTTTCCACAGACGGGATGGCGGGTTGGGAACAGCCCGGTGCCCTCCCACCAGCACCCCGTGAAGCCAGCGACTCACCCAGGTCTGGTACAAACCTTTTATTCCCCCTCCCAGCTCAGGGCTGGGTTTGCCCTTTGGAAGCGAAGCCGGGAGGGCTCCACGGCCGCCCTGTCCCTGGAGTTTTGTGCCCTGGGGACAGGGAGCTCTGCCGTGGCCGGAACGTCACAGACTCCACCGAGCTTCACACGGAGCCGAAAAGCGACAACGAAAAGTGTACCCCCCAAAACGGACACGAGACCCCCCCACAGCCCCCCCCAACCCACCTCCCCAAACCCAGATATGTCGTGTGGGTGACAGTGATACGGAGCAGCACGAAATGGGCAGGGACGGGGATGGGAACGAGAGTCCCCTGCCCCACCACGCCAGCCCCAGGGAGCGGCTGGCACACGGAGAGAGAGCCCAAAAACCCAGGGGTTGAGGGGGGTCAGGGTAATAAGTTAATCTGTACAGATGTGTTAAGTGACAGGGGGATGGCGGGGCCACCCTCTGGCACAGGGGTGTACCCGTGGGGCGCCGGGGGCCGAGGAACCACATGCCTGTGCAAATCAAAGCACGGAACGATGCACAAAGTGGGGTGATGGAGAACGGTGGGGACATGGGGAGGTGCCTCGGCTCGCACCAGGAGGGAGGGGACCCCTCCATGCCAAGAGGCGGTACCAGGGTGAGCTGAGGGGGTCCCTGTTGGCCAGGGTGCCCAGGGACACGGTGACCAGCTGCTGCCAGGTCCTGCCATCAGCCACAGTCCCACAGGCTGAGCTGCTGCCAGCACCGGGCAGGAATGCTGATCCCAGAAAGGAGCCATCCCAACAGGATGCTGAGCCCAGGATGGAGCCGTCCCCGCAGCTCCCACCTCCTGCCCAAGCTTGAAGCCAAGGAAATGCCACCTCATCCCCTTCCTGGTCCCACCAGCAACCTGTCGGCATCCAGGCCAGTGCCCCAACGGCGTCACGGAGCAAGGAGGGGAAGGAGCCATCCCAGGGCCCCTCCACAGCTCCGGGAAGGGGCCGGCTGGGTCCTCGCGTGGGCACGGAGGCGGCGAGATCCGCTCCCCTGTCCGGTTGCCAACGCCAAATCCATTCGCCACGTTCCGGCTCCCCGAGGCAATCGGCTCCGGCCGGCGGAAGGGAGTTCCCAGGGCCGGAGCCGGCGCCTTGGAGGCTCAGCCCAAGGTGGGAGGCCGGGGATGTGCCGAGCCAAAGCTCAGAAGGCTGCAGACACTCTCCATCCCCCACGGCAGCCGGCTCCCTCCTGCCCAGCGCTGGACCCGTGCCCGGAGGGCTGCGGGGCCCCGGCGGCTCCGGGCGGGAGCAGACAGACCGTCCTGCTCCGAGGACGGGCTCCCTCCGGCCTCCCGGCTCTGGCAGCTCCTCTCTTGGCTCTGGAGTGGTGGAAACCAGGATCCCAGTGCACGGCACATCCGTGGAGGAGGCAAAGCCGCCTGGCTCCTGGAGCCTTCTCCACAGTGGCCATCCCTGGGGAGGAGAGCGGGACCCAGCTGGATCCCGTTCCCCGGTCCAGAGATGCCCCTCTGAGAGCTCGGGATGTGGGGCAGCCAGAGAGGCAGCAGAACGGGATCAGGGATGATGCCATGGGGACGGTGACGGGGAGGTGGCAGAGAGGTGATGGGAAGGGATGGGAGTGCTACAGGATGGTCTTGTCCAGGTCGACTTTGAGGGGCAGCGGCCCTGCGTCCTCCCCGTGCGCGGGGCACAGGGTGACGGCGATGACGGGCGGCAGCGGGAAGGCGCCGGGGCCACCCAGGTCCTCCAGGTACTCCTTGTCCCCATTGATGCTCAGAGGCTGGAAGAGAGGCAGAGGTGACTGTGCAGCCCCGGAGCAGGGGACAGGATCCCCTCACCCCCACCAGGGAACACCACGGGGCTGGCTGGGGATGTCCCACCCGGCACGGACACACGGAGAGCCCCACACGGGCTGGGCACCACCAACACTGCACAGCAGCATCTCACCCAGCCCCAGTGGGTGTTGGGGACCCCCCCTCGGGCTGTGCTCCCCCCATACCTGGGTCTTGACGTGCTGCTCGGGGGCGGTCACCAGGCTGGCACAGCTCAGCCACAGCATCACCATGATGGAGAGGAAGAGGCAGGCGGCCAGGATCCAGCGAGGGAGGCCCGAGCGCCTGTAGCACCCCACCACCCCCCACCAAAGAAAAGGGACCAGTTTATGGCAGGGCACGGGCAGGGGTGGGAGTTGGGGTTGGGGGGAATCTGCTCCAGCACATCCAGCAGGTCCCAGACCACCTACTTGGACATGCAGCCGAGGAAGTCGTGCTCCTGCTGCGGGGGCTCCGGGGGGTGCGCCTTGGCTTTGCCCCTCGGCTCCTTCATGGGGGGCTTCTCCCCCTTCGCCCCGGGGCCTGGGAGGGGAGAGGCGATGCTGAACACAGGCAGCCACGTGGGGACACCCCCAGCGCTCCCCATCCCCTTGCCAGCACATCCCCCTGGGGACCCTCTGCCAGCTGAGGGGGCACAGAGGATCCCGGCAGCTTCTTGGAGCAGGTCCCCAGTGCCGAGCCCCGGCCCCACGTGGGTGGGGGTGTGGGAAGCGAATCAGGCCCAGGAAGCGGGTAATTTGTTTGGCTCTGGAGGGCTCGGATGGGAGCCAGGAGGGCTCCAAGGTTCCCGGCCCCCACCCCCAGCAGCCCGGACCCCCCTGCACCTGTGTGGGGCTGGGGGACATGAGGGCTGGATCCCGGTGGTGCCGGCTGTGCCGGCTGGATCTCCGGTGCCTCGGGTGCTGGGTACTCCATCTCCGGCTGGGACTGGATCAGCAGGGAAAGAGGGAGAAGGAGGTGAGCGAGGGGGTCCCCACCCCTCTTGGCACCCCCGGAGAGGGCCCGTGGGACACCCCCACCTGGAACACCACGACTTTGCCGTCGTCCGCCTGCAGGTAGAAGGTCCAGGTGGAGGAGATGAAGCTCTGGGCGGAGCTGACGATGTCGTTGCAGAAGGTGGAGACCAAATCCAACAGGGAAAACGAGGGTGCCTCCAGCTCCAGGCTCTGCAAAGGAGCAGGGACACCATGTCACCGCTGTCCCCTCATCACCCACCCTGCGGGACAACATCCCACCCCGAGGGTACGGCCGGGCCGAGCCGGGCGCTCAGATCCGGGCCTCATCCTGCTTCTCCCAGGGAGGGACGGACAGGGATGTTAGGGTCCAACCCCAGGAGGGTCACTGGGTGGTCCCTGGGGTCATCACCCAGCCCCAGGACCGTGCCCCTGGGGCGGGATCACCCTCAGCCGGGCTGTGCTCCCACCAGTGCCGTGGAAAACGGGCGCGGAGCGGCCGCGGTGCCGAGGGCGTTGCTCTCCTGGCAGCCTCTCGGTGCCCTGGATTCTTGGCCGTCGCGGCGGTTTGTTATTTTTAAAGCATCCCCTGCTGGAATCCGCTTGGCTGCTCCCTGCCACTGGCTCCCAACATTTTCCGACAGCCCCTTGCACGGTCAAACCAGCAAACAGGAAATAAATAGGTCAGATTCTGTATCTAATTATTATGCTAAATCTGCTTTGCCTGGCTCGTCTGGGAACCCGAGGAAAAATGCTTCGGGTGGGTGAAGGGGGTGAGGGCCCCCCCCCCGTCAGCCAGTTGCCCCCAGATGCTCATCCCTGGCCTTGGAGAGGGGCTGGGAAATGGGATCAGACGCCGGGAAGGTCTTACAAACAGGCTGCAAAGTGGTTTTTCGGAGGAGCCGCAGCTTTTCGCGGCACAGATCCGTCCTTGCCTGCACGTGCACAAAGCCAAAAGCCTCTTCCTTGGGCCAAAGTTTAATTGAATTAATTGGCCAAAAGCTGAATTAATTAAATGTCGGAGGGGAAAGCATTGCTAATTGCTGGGAAGGATAACAAATCAAAACTGGGGGAATCTGCCACGATTCCCGGTCAGGTCCTCTCGCCCTGGGAACTCACTGGGATCACCCTGCCTGGCCCAAGCCAAGTCCAGCCCAGTCCAGCCCAGTTAATTTGCTTTTCATGCTTTGGACGAAAGCAAAGCGCTGGGCCAGTGGTGGTTTGGCTCATCCCAGCACATCCAGAGCCCCCAGTCCACACGGATGGAGGGATGTGGGGACAGATGGATGCTGGAGAGATGGAGGGATGGACGCTGGAGAGATAGGGATGACAGAGGGATGGAGGGATGGGTGGATGGATGATGAATGGATGGATGAATGCATGGATGGATGGATGGATGCACATGTGGGATGTCACAGCCTCCATCCCCAGGGAGAGGAGGAACTGTGCTGAGCTCCTGCTGGAGGACGGGGTCTCCCCATCTCCCCGGCCCCTCACCTTCTCCTTCCTGCTCCCCTCCACCTCGGGCAGCTGTTTGTGGCACCCGGTCACGCAGCCAAACTGCTCCGCGGCGTTGCCGTAGGCCTCGGCACACGCTGGGGGGAGAGGGGGGCAGGTTAGGGGGTGCAGGGGGGCAGGTTAGGGGGTTCCCCACCCCCAGGGCCCCCCTTCACACCGAGGGGTGTCCATCTGCCCCCGCTCGCCGTGGGGCACGGGGCGATGCGGGGAGGGTGGGGGGCGTCTCGGTGGTGCCGGTGGGGTGTGGGGGATCCCCCCGGGGGGGGACATTTGGGGCGTGGGGGCCGCTCGGCCACCGGCTCCTCACCTGCTTCACACTCGGCCCGGGTTGTGTTGAGCTCGGCGCTCGCATCCACGAAGTGACAGATGGAGAACAGCCGGCAGCCCCGGTAACAGGCGTTGAGAACAGCATCCTGCGGCGAGGAGGAGGAGGGCGGCGTGGAGCTGGCACCGAGCTCAGCCCGGTGGCCGCGCCGGACCCTCCCCCTGCACGGCCCCCTCCCGCCCGCTCCCGGCTGGGGGGCACCGGGAAGCGCTGCCCGCCCCAAGGACCGCGGCCAGGGCACCCCAAAACCAAGGGGTGGCATCCCAGGGGGAGGGGGAGCTGCCCTGCGCCCCCCCCCGAGTGCACCCCGGGGTGGGTTTGTACGTGGCCTAGTCCTCGTCGAGGGTCCCCCCGTCTCTTTTGGGGCACTTGGCACCAGCTGGGCCCCGTGGCAGGGGCGGGGGGTGCGCTGCACTGGGGGGTGTGCATGGGGGGGTACACGCTGGGGGGGAAATGGGGGGCACACACGGGGGTCGCTGTGCGTGTGCAGGCTCAGGGGGAGCCGGTGAGATGGGTGAAACCACTGCAGGCCCCCCAAACCAGGGTGGGTGCCCTCACTGGGGGCACCCCAAAGCTGTGGTGGGGGAGGACCCCCATGCCCCCCGTGGCACTCCCAGTGTGTGGCAGATGCCTGTCCAGGGTGTCCCCTGGTGCTGCTCCTGGTGCCCCTGTTGCATCTGCTGCTCCCAGTCCGTCCGTCACCCCCCCCCCTCCCCGATGCTCCCGGTGCCCTTCCCTCCTGGTGCCCCCAATGCTCCTGGTACCCCCAGTGTACCAGGTACTACTGATGATCCCCATGCCCATGGTGCCCCCCAGTACCCCCTGGGCCCCCCTAGTGCTTATGGCACCCCCACAGTGCCTCTGATGCTCTGGGTACCCCCAATGCTATTGATGGTCCCCATGCACCCCCTACCCACCATGACCGTGGTACTCCCAGTGCACCCAGTGCCCCTGATGCTCCTGGTTCCCATGACACCACTGATGCTCCCCATGCCCCCTGTGCACCCCAGTACCCCTGCTGCTCCTGGTACCTCCCAGTGCCCCCGATGCTCTTGGTACTCCTGATGCTATTGATGCTCCCCATGCCCCCAGTGCCCCCCAGTACCCCCGTTGCTCCAGGTACCTCCCCTAATGCTCATGGTAACCCTGACGCTACTGATGGCCCCCATGCTCCCAGTGGCCCCCAGTACCCCCCGGTACCCCCCGGTGTCCCGATGCTCCTGGTGCCCCCGATGCTCTTGATGCTCCCCACACCCCTGGTACCCCCCCGGTACCCCCCAGTGCCCTGATACTCCTGGTGCCCCCGATGCTCCTGATGTTCCCCACACCCCCGGGTACCCCCCGGTGTCCCGATGCTCCTGATGCCCCCGATGCTCCTGATGCTCCCCACACCCCCGGTATCCCCCGGTGTCCCGATCCTCCTGGTGCCCCCGATGCTCCTGATGCTCCCCACGCCCCCGGTACCCCCCGGTACCCCCCGGTGTCCCGATCCTCCTGGTGCCCCCGATGCTCCTGATGCTCCCCACGCCCCCGGTACCCCCCGGTACCCCCCGGTGTCCCGATGCTCCTGGTGCCCCCGATGCTCCTGATGCTCCCCACACCCCCGGTGCCCCCCGGTGTCCCGATCCTCCTGGTGCCCCCGATGCTCCTGACGTTCCCCATGCCCCCGGTACCCCGGTGGCCCGGTGCCCCGGTGCCCCGGACTCACGGCGGCGGCCCGGCTCGGGAGGCTGCGGCCGCACTGCCCGCGGCACCCGCCGGTGTCCCCCAGCTGCGGCGAGAAGGGGTCGGCGGCGGCGACGGCGGCGGCGAGCAGGGCCAGGCCGAGGGGGGCGAGCAGGGCCCGGGGCCGGCGGGCCGGGGCCGCCATGGCGGGCGCGGAGCGGAGCGGAGCCGAGCGGAGCCGAGCGCACCCACCGCCGCCGCCGCCGCCGCCGCCGCCGCCGGCCCCGCCGTGACGCGCCGTGCGCCGGGCGGGGGGAGCCGGGGGCGGGGGGAGCCGCCGCAGCCCTGCCGCAGATCCACCGGCACCGGCGGGGGACGCGGGAGGATGCGGGGTGTGCGGGGGTACCCGGGGATGCAGGACATGGGGATGCCCGGGCACTGGGGGATGGGGGGACCCCGGGATGCAGGAGGGGGGGAATGGCAGGCACTGGGGGATGTGGGCACCCCAGGATGTAGGACAGGGGGATGCCCGAGCGCTGGGGAATGTGGGTACCTCGGGATGCAGGAGGGGGGGAATGCCAGGCACTTGGGGGATGTGGGGTGCCCTGGGATGCAGGACGAGGGGATGCCCTGGCACTGGGGGATGTGGGGCACCCCAGGATGTAGGACAGGGGGATGCCCGGGCACTGAGGGATGTGGGGTACTCTGGGATGCAGGAAAGGGGGATGCCCGGGCACTGGAGGATGTGGGATACCCCGAGATGCAGGATGGGGAGATGCCCTGGCACTGGAGGATGTGAGGTACCTCGAGGTGGAAGAGGACAGAGGGATGCCCGGGCAGCAGGGGATGCTCAGGCACCAGAGAATGCAGGGGTACCCCGGGATACAGGAGGAGAGGAGGCCTAAGGACCAGGGGATGCACAGGGATTGGGGATGCCTGGGTACCAGGGGATGCAGGAGGGTTCAGGGGGACCAGGGGAATGCCCAGGGATCAGAGGGGCACATCAGGACTGGAGGCCACGCTGACACCAGCAGCACAGAGGGACTGGGGAGAGCAGGGGGACTGGGGGGTCGACATGGGGACCAGGGGGGCACATTGGCACTGGTGGCACCCAGAGGGACAGGGCTGCCCGCACAGGGACCATCCCGTCAGGAGGGGACAAGGGGCTGTGTCCCCTGCCAGCTGTGCCACCCTCCACCTCGCCCTCCCTCTGCAGGGCCCCCCAGCAGGGCACCAGGCTCTCCCTGACACCCCAAATTTACAGCTGCGATTCCCCAGGGTTTAAAGGACATCAAAGGCCCCTCCTGGGCCCCGGACCCCCCTCTCACCCCTGCCTTGCCCATTACCCTTATTTATGGCAGCACCCCAAAGCAGCCCCGGGGGGAGGAAGGGGAGGAGGAGGAGGAGGGCTGGGGGCTTTGTTAACCTCCAAACCTAATGGGGAACACATGGCAAGACCCCGGCAGGGGGAAGGGGGGGGTTGTCTCCCTGTCCCAGCTCAGGGTTGAGGGGTGCTGGACACCCTGGGGCAGGGGGAGAGGGGTTGGGGGCGGCTGGGGCAGCACAGCCCGTGCCCCCCACTCCCCCCCGGGAGCGGGGAGCGGGGCCTCTCCTCGCCCCGCCAGCTTATTCATCTTGTTAATCAAAGCAGGGCCGGGAGAAAATGTGCTGCGGCCGGGGCTGGCGGGGCTGCCAGGGCGCTGCGCTCCCCCTTCCCCCTCCTGGAGCCCCGCCAGCCCCGGGTCCGGCACCGCTGACGGATGGCCAAGAAAATGGGGTAGATTGGGGGCTGTCGCCGTAAATCACGGCCCCGCGCCGCAGGTGGGGTTTCCCTGGCAAGGGAAAGACACGGAGCCCGAGCCCGGAGCCCCGCGGGGGGAACGGGAATCCCCCGGGTGGAGCGGCCGGTGGGCACCGCTCCCTCCCGCCGCACCTGCCCGCACCTCGAGCCCCTGGCACCGGCCCGCGCTGCGGCCGCTCACCTCCTCCTGGAAAAAAAAAAAAAAAAGCCTCTCCAGGGCAAAAAACCACTCAAGTTGGCAAATATTTGCTGCCCTCCCTCCTCCCCTCTCCAGAAACACTCGATGCCTTTTGCATTTATCACTACTGACCTACATTTTTCCCCCCCTCCCGGAGCCTTTCGGGAAGGCACAGCCTTCCCCCCCCCAACCCCGTGCCGGCTGAGATGTCCCCAGGGTCCCCCCTCCACTGGCAGGGGACCTGTCACGTCATGTCCCGATCCTGCTGAGCCCATCCCTGGTGCTCGAGCACCCCCTTGACATCAACCACGTTTTCCCCCCCCCCCTCCTCTAGAGCTCCTCAAACCCCACCGTTGGACTCTTTGTGCTTCCCAAAGCAAACAGAGGAGGGAAGGTGCGGCCGCCTCGAGGATGCTCCCGAGGGAAAGGGGGTGGGGGGGGGTGGCAGGGAAGGGGTTAAGCGGGTTATAAATTACCCATGGATGTGGAAATGTGACTGAGAGGAATAGAAAGCAAACTCTGCCTGCTGGATTCTTTGCATTTCTTGCCTCTTTATTTTTCCCCCAGGTCACTTTAAAAGGATGCAGGCAGTCGAGGCAGCCTCTCCTCCCGCTTTTCCCGGGGTTTGGGGTTGTTTTTCTTGTTTGTTTTTTACACCCTGGCCCTTGAGCCAGATGCTGTCTCCGTCCAAGGATTTTATGGAGCGAGCTCTGGCTGGGAAATCAAGTAATTAGATTAATTCAGGGCCCTGGTGACACATGATGGAAGGTGATGGCTGGTGGGAAGCTGGACCGAGGATGCTCCGCGCGGGTTTGGGGATGTCACCGGGGTCACCCGGCTCCGTCCGGGGGGAGTCACACCCCGCCTGGGCAGAGCAGGGGGTTGGTCCCCGTGGCCAGATCCTGCACCACAGCAGGGCAAGGAGGGCCTGGGAACGGAGCCACGCCGGGGGGGCAGCCGGACCGCGCCGGCCCCGCGGGACCCCCGTGCTGACGCCGACGGCCCGGGCCGGGGGTCCGAGGGGGGGTCGGGCACAGATCCTGCCTCTGGCCGGTGCCTGTGAGCATGACTGGCCCGTGGGCTGAGGGAGCAGCTTTAAAGGTCACTGTCAAAGGGCAGAGCTGACCACAGCTGCCACTGAGCGGCCGAGGCGCTGACTCAGAGACAGCGGCTCGGCCACCTCCGGCTGCTCCCGGACGGAGCTGGACACCAACCCTGGCACTGCCCGGCTTCGGGGGGCTGGCTCTGTCCCCCCACCCTGTGCCCATCCCACAGGCTCAGGTGCTGCCGTGGGGCGGGGAGAGCAAATGTCCCTGTGCCACCTGTGGCACGTCCCAGGTGACACCGGGGAGATCCGAGGCTCCCCCCTCCCCTCCTGATGCCACTGTGCTCCCCTCTGCCCGCCAGCACAGCCTCAAGCCACTCTCTGGTGACGCCTTTGCCACGTCCCCTCTGCCAGCACCCCTCCCCGGGATCCCACCCATCCCTGCTTCCCAGGGCCACCGCGCTCAATCCCACATTCCGGGTGCGAGCCGAGGAGCTCGGCCAGCGGCTGGAGGAAGCAGATGGGGGAAGGGGGGTGGGCAGTGCAGGTGGGCAGCCGGGGCGGCTGCTGGTCCCGATTCCAGCTCCAGGGGAGGGGGATTTCTCCTTCTCCCCGCTCCCAGCACCCACCGCCGGCTCCGGTCCCGGGGTGGCTTCCCGGGGGGATCGGGGCGGTGGGTCGGGATCGCGGGCGGCCGCCAGAGCCCCGGGGCGGCCGTGATTCACTCGGCCAGACTGCGGCCGCTGGGGCTAAGTTTCTCAGGCTGGGTGGCTCCCGGAGCCTGACATTTTTGGGAAATTTCAACAAAAACAGTTCGGAAGCTTCCAAAAAACAGGACGATGGGAAAAGGCATTGTTCGGGCTCCCTCCCCCTCTCGTTCTTTTATTGTGTTTCCTAATCCCTGCAATCCCTTGCTGGTGCCCAACACCTCGGAGCCCCACGCAGTGTCACCCCTCCCCTTCCTCGTGTGACAGTGGGGCTCAGCCCCCCCCGCCCCCCGTCTGTGGGGCATCCAAGGCCACCCGGGTGTCCCCTGCCACCCTCCACACTCCGTGTCCAGCAGGAAATGATGTCCCCTGTCCTCACAGCTGGGGACATGCCACGCTTGGGGACAGTGGCCTTGCCACGGACCGGGACCTGCTGTCCTGGGGGTCTGTGACCCGTCTGGGGGTCTGCAAAGCTCTCAGTGCCACCGAGACCCCGGGCAGGGGGACAGGAGGGGACACTGGGGGGTGCCCGAGTGGGTGGCTGTGCCCTGGTGCTGGTGGCACAACCGGAAGTGCCACCACCCCTGTGACCCATGGGGACAAATGCAGACACGGTCTGGGGGGACTTGGAGCCACTTGGGGTGTTTTTTCCGCTTTTGGGGGTTTTTGGGGAGGAAAAAACAGAGATGATGGATTCGACAGAAAACACCGGGGTTTATGAGATGATATTCCCGTTTTCACCCCAAAAATAAGTAATGACAAGGGTTTGGATCTTAGAGACGCTTCGAGCGGGGGGAGCCCACGGGAGGGGGGGCCGGTACAGGGGCGAGAGCGGCCCCGGGGGCGCGGGAGGGTCCGTGGCGGCCGCGCGTGAGTCACCCGTGGGCCGGCGGCCCCGGGGCGGCTCTTACTCACCTACCGGGGGGGTCGGGGGGAGCGGGACACCGGCCCCGGGGCGGGGTAGGGTGGGGGGTCCGGCATCCCCCGGCGGCAGCGGGCACCGGGCGGGGGCCAGTGCCGGGGCCGGTCCCGGGGCCGGTACCGGAGCGGGGCGGGGGGGCGGCGGGGCCGGTGGCTTTCTGCCCCCCCGGGGGCGGTCCCGGGGCGGGGCCAGGGCGGCAGTTGGGGCTTTGGTAACCGGGGGTTGCTCAGACTTGCTCGGGACTTCCCCGGACGTGCCGGTGCGCTCCGCCGCCCCGGGCACCGACGGGCACCGGAGCCGGCCATGCCGCCGCCGCCGCCGCTCCCGATGCTCCCGCTGCTGCTCCTGCTCTGCCCGCGCCTCGCCCGCGCCGACCCGCTCGCCTGTGAGTACCGGGAGCACCGGGCGGCTCTCGCAAGGTGGGCGCGGGGCGGGCGAGGGTCCCGTCGGGGCCAGGCGGGCGCTGCGCGGAGCCCCCCGGGGCTCTCCCGTTCCGCTCCGTGTGGCCCGTCCCTCCCCGGCCCCGGCTTGCGGAGCCCCCCGGGGCTCCCCCGCTCCTTCCCGCGTGTCCCGTCCCCCCCGGCCCCGGGATGCGGAGCGGTCCCGGGAGCCGCGGGGACACCGCCGGTCGCACCTCGGGGCTGCGCTTCGCCTCCTGTGGAGGGGAACGGAGACCCCCCCGCGGAGGGCAGCCAAGACCCCCCATCGCTCCCCGACAGGCAGCCGGGAACCCTCCTCCCCGTCCCCGCAGCCCAGCCGGGACCCCCCCGCCCCTTCTCTCCGCAGAGAACAATAGAGGAACCTTTTTTTTGCTCCCCCCCATCCCCGAGAGCAGCGGGGCAACCCCCCTCCCCCGGAGCAGCGAGTTCTCCCTCTCCTCACGGAGAAGAGGGACCCCTCTCCCTGGGAAGGGCTGGTCCCCCCTTGTGCCCCCTCCCCGCCGTCCAGCCTCCCCCTCCCGCAGAACAACGCGGCTCCATTCCCCACCCAGGACAATGGAAACCCCCGGCCTCGGCCCGGAGAACAATAGCGAACCCCTTCCCCACGCGACCCCCTCCCACCCCCGGGAGCCGTCACCCCCCCTTTGCTCCCCCCAAAGCCTCCGAGACCCCCCCCTCCTTCTCCTTAAAACAACGGGGTCCCCCCTTGTCCCCCGAGAGCCGCCCCCCTCCCAATCCCAGAGAACAATGAATCCCCTTTTCCCACCCAGAACAATAGGGATCTCCCTCCTTCCCCCACGGAGAACAATGACCACCCCTCGAGCCCCCCTCCCAAAAATAAATCCCTCGGCGGGGGCTCCGCGGCGATGCCCAATTTGGGGGTCCCAGCGGGCGGTGGCAGGTCCGGGAGGTGCCACCTGTGGGCTGAGCTGTGGGCGGCCTCAGCCCCGCGGGGATCGGGGTCCCCCCTCGCCAAGCGAGGGGACACACGGGGGGTTGTTCTTCCCCCCTCCCCGCGGAGCCCTAAACGCGACCGAGCCCCCCCCGTCCCACCACCCGCCGCCTCGTCGCCCCCCCTGCGGCCCGAGCCGGGGGGAGGCGAGATCCCGCTCCCCGCAGCAGGAAGTTTGGCTTCCTCCCTATGATGGGAATTTCTCAAGGCGATGGATGTTCCTCGCCCCGACGCGCAAACGGGACCCGCCAAGAAAAAGCCACCGCGGCTCCCGCGTCCCCTCCCCGGCGACACCGCGGGGTCCCGGACACCGCGGGCGGACCCCCCCGACCCGCCCGCGTCCTCAAGGGGGGGGGAGTCTTTAAAGAGCGTTAATTGGGGCACGAATTGCCGGAGCGACGGAGGCTGGGGAGGAAAATCGCTCCAAAAATCCCTTCAGGGGCCGTCAACGCCAGCGGCCGAACCCCGGTGGGTTTCCACCGGGAGCGGTGCCCACCCCTGTGCCCACCCTGCTGCCTGGAGGGTTTAATCCCACCGGGAACAAGGCGAGGCCGCGGCCAGCCCCTCGTTGGGGGTGACCCCGCACCTTTCTCCTCCCGGCCAGGGGCAGCCGGTGCCGGATTCGCCCTCCGCGGACCCCCCGTTCCCCCCCTGCCCACGGGGGTCCGGGGCAGCGCTCGCCCCGCGGCCCCCTCGACGTGCGGCGCTGGGGAAGGCGAAGCCAAATGTCCTTTTAGAGAGTGAAAGTTTCCCCTCGGTGCAGCTCGGCCGCGCTGGAATGCCTGGGCTTTTTATAAATCCCTCCTCGAGCCCAGGGATGGGCACGAGAAATGCCAGTCGGAGATGAGAAAAGGGGGGGAAAAAAAGAGTGGAAAACGGGGTGGAAAAGAGGGATAGAGCGTGTTGTGTCTGCCTCGTTGCTCGGGCTTTAGAAGAGCTCTAAAGAGATATATATTTAAATTTATTTTTCCTGTGGAATTCAGAGCTTCCCAAATTCCCTTTTGTTCTTCAAGGCAATTATTTCTCTTTTTCTTTGGACCCCTGCACAGCTCCATAAATCTTTTTTAACTGCGTGATCTCCGACACTTATCGGAGAGGATTGGGTTGGTTTTTTTTCCCCTTTTCTTTCCCCAACTCCTTAAAAAAAACCCTCCGATATAAAACTGAAATGAAACCC